CTGTTATTGTCAACAAAAGTATAAAAATATTAGACTTGGAATAGTAGAAATTAAATTAAAATAAATAAATAATAAGAAATAAATGAATGAGTAAATAAATAAATACATTATAAGTATTTATAAATTTAAAAAAAAAAATTATATGCGAGAATCGAACCCGAGAACTCAAGCTTATGAATCAGACTCGTTACCGCTCTGCCAAACGACTTTTTTTTTTTTTTCTTCTGTAAATTCAATACTTTATTGAAAGTATGAAATAAACTTATTATCTCTGCCAAAGGACGCTCGAATAGAAGTACGTATAATTTATATATAAAGTGCTGAAAAAACTTTAAGTTCGATTTTCTCGATTATATTTGAGTATTGCACTTTAGTATTTTACAGGTAGTACACTCACATGGTGTACTACCTCTACACCAAAGATCATCAAAATCCGTTACCCCAAAGCCGTAGGCTCTCCTTGTTAGTTTTATCGTTTAGTTTTCGTCCACTAATCTAAGTTTGGAACACTCGCGGGTTTTTAGAATTTAGATTGGTTTCTTCCGTCGATATTATTATTATTATTGACCACTTTTCACTATCAACCGCGCAATTTTTGTTAATTGCCAGAATGTTTCGATTGTCAAAAAGGAATATATATTGTCTTTGATGGATGATGCGGTAATAAGCACTTTTTCCTCGTTCTTTACTTCGTCTGAATTATTTCTAGAGCTCTGTTGTTCGGGGCACTTATCTCGCTTTTTCTAAACGATTATTGCTTTCGACTAAATTCGTTTTTGTTACATTTTATTTGTTCTTATCCGATACATCTTGACATTTATGAGTTAGGCCAAATAATCTACCTTTTAACGTGTGAAGCCACTTTCTTCGTGGGAAACTTTTCAGTGAAAGATCTCGAATAAAAGGCCCATTTTTCTTCTTAAAATATAGAAAAAAAGACAACAAATTCTAGAAAATGAAGAGACTGAACGAATTACCCGTCAAAAATACCTTCGTTTTCTATCTTTCTTGCAACGTCACGAACTTCCACGATAATCCATCGGTCATTAGTTCATTTAAATATTTTTGAATTTATATCTAAATTAACTCTTCTCGCTTCTTCGTAAATCTAATTTGAATGATTTTATAATGTTGCAACCTTCATCTTTTTTAAATTATAACAATTTATTTAGCGTGTAGTCTCTCGAAAAAGTTCGTAACTTTTCTTATCTTTCGAGGATCTTCGGTTTAAATATATTTCATTGTCGATAGCGGCTTTTAAATTTTTTAAATTCAAATTTATCCTTATCTCTTTCTCATCAGGTCTGTATGTAGGCTATATATTGTTTAATATTTTTGAATTTGTGTATAAATTGAATGAATTGTGTGACGACGAATTATCATCGTAGTTCGTGACGTTGCGCTAATTATAGAAAGCGAAAGGACTTTCGATAGATAATTCTTTTTAAGTTCCTTCATTGCCTACAATTTTTCTCTATTTTATTTATTTATATGATACATACTATACTAGTCTATATGAATAATTTTCCCACAAATTTAACTTTCAGATGAAATTTCTTCACTAGACCTATCATCAGCATTTATTTCGTTTCATTATCACAATTGCTTACGTAAAGATTTTGCGTTCGGTTTATAATTTCACTTACATTTTTAGTGATCCCAGATTCATAATTCCTTTTTTTACATGAAGTTCGGCACTTTTCTAGTTACTCTATCGCGCTTTAATCTCGAAACACTTTCCCCTATTGTTATTTCGAAGTAATCTTAAAAGGGAAAAGGAATTCGGGGGGGATTCTCTTAGTGGTGTCGATGCAAACTGTTTATTATTCTTTTGATAAATATAATGTAGAAATTATCCGACGGCGTCGCTAGCATCGCCTACCACAAACTAAAAAAGAAAAATATAACATTAACGGAATCAATTTACTTTTGTTGCAGATGAAATGAAGCGAAGACGGGAGTTTTATGCAGAGCATCCCGATGCAGGTAATTTATTTTCTTGAATCTTAACATAGATATAGCCTAAGTTATATTTTAGTGCAAATTTTGCAATCTCATAAGGATAATAAGCAACCCAACAAAACAATTTGTTTAATCATAAAGTATTTAATAAATTAATAAAGAACGTGAGCCACTTTACAGAATTATTTCAAATGTTTAATCAAAAGCTATTAGACAATAAGCGAATAACACCCAAAGTATAGTTCTGGCTTATAAAATATACTTCTCCTGACTAAAGTAACCAAGATTCAAATAATAAGTGTACTTTGGCTCCGGGTGGGATCCTCAATAGCGTCCTTCGTAACACGCCGAATGCACTAACTAATAAAGCTATCGAGACACGCTTTCTTATCTTGTAACGGAACTAACTATATCTTGTAACAGTTAAACAGGTTTTCTGTTTGTCTGTGAACTGAATGACCGAAATTGTTAATGAACAAATAACATCCGAAACTTAAGACTAGCCGTAACCGCGTGTCCATTAACGTTGATAGGCCTATAACAAGGAAAATAGTGTGTTATCCCGACAGCAAAATTACTCTATTTAAAATCAAATTACGGTCATGTTATAACAAAATAGATTTCAATTAAAGAATAGAACAGGTAGAAAAGCATTTATAATATAACAATAAATGAAAGAACCCGTATTTATCACACCTGTTTATATAATTATTTCTAATACCTGTTTATATAATATACAGTATATACACCTGTGCATATCTGTATATAGGCTATATAGCCTATAATTAATATTTTATGTTATAGAATATTTTCCACCGTCTTTAGTATTATTTAAACTATTTAAAGTAATTATATATAAAAGACACAGTTGAGTATTAATTGAAGGTAAAATGAAAATTTGACATTTACTAAACAGTATAATAAAATTCGTAATAGCATTCGATTACAAATGAATGATTGATTGTCATCTCTTGTCACTACAAAACAAAATGTTTTAGACGTAATATTTTTGATAACTGATACAAATTCATTGATAGATATTATGTTTAGATTATCTTATTTGAAGGAAAGTCTGTTTTTTCTCGGTCTAACGATGGTCGATATTATTGGGAAGTTTGTCGATGGAGTTGGATAAATTGAGCCAGCAAGGATAAAAAGGGGGAGACGGATAAAACTTTTATACGTGTTTATTCATCGAAGAGATTGTCATAAGAACGTTACAAAGGGGTAAGGTAATAAGTATCCAATGGATCATAGGTAACGAGAGTAAACAGTGTCATCTACATCCTGCCTTTCAGGCGCCAAACTTTCGCTTTCGCACTTGACAGCCACATTCCTAACAGATATAGGTCCTACATGAAATTATGGTTCAAATTGTTTACAAACCTGTTTCTTTTAATTCCGATTCCGAGATTGATTAGACTGTAAGAGAGGCTTTAATATAATAAAATAACAAGAAATGTTCTTACAATCACTGTTTTACGGGAGAGTAGCGTCGAGTGGGAAGGCTACTTTGTTATATTTATTAATAAAAAGTTAGTTTCTTAAATTCAATAATGTGTTACAGTTTCAAAGATTTTGTATCCACAATCTTGAACTTTATGTTTATGAAAGAAGATAGCGAAAACAAATCGTCGATAGTTTTGTTCTTGAGACCCGACATCATACATTCCTCCACACTCCACTTTTTTTTCGCAACATCGACCTCCCCGTCCCAGTAATTATCGACGTTCCGTCTTTGTTTCTTTATTGCTTGTTCACTATTGTAGACGTTATTGATCTGTTTTGTTTTTGAATCAAGCGCATCTTTCGTAGTATTTTATTACATTCGGTCCTCCCAATACCGAATACTTTAAAATTTAGATTAATTCGAATGTCGACGACACAATCCTCCCGTCTCCTTAACCTTAATCCGTCGTTAGTAAGATTCAACTTTGACTCCAGACGTGACGACGACTAGCAACTACGTAGCAAACTAATTTAACACTGTACTAGGCTCAAATAGTAATTGCTTCTATAGTAGAAATGATCATTATAGCAAAATGGAATAACGCACGATTTCGTGTCTAATGTCTGTTTATTATTACCTCCGTCTTTACTGCCAGATCGAAACCAATATATTGGAACGAACAAATAGTCTTCTGCACATTACAAGGTCGAAAGGTTTTCTGTATTATAATATTACGTAATAAAATTACCGATTATTTACAGAGCTAATAACAGACATCGGTTCAGTGTCTTAAAGAAAAATAAATGCGTATATTGCATAGAATCAATGCATATTAATTTGCTTAGAAGAGACCGACATCCATCCTATTTCTTAGGAGAACTTAATGGGAATAAAAGAATTATTTGTTTTCGTGAAGAAAATCAAGGGTGCGTAGGAATGGGTGTCGGACCAGGAAATCTGGATTAACAAATCTCGCTCTCCAACTGGTAAAAACTTAGTTCGAGCTGGATAACAACTTGTAGGTCGGTTTCCGGTTGCCATATTGCCACGTGCACACTACTTTACGGACGGTTTATCCGGCACGGGTCCCCCGGGCCAAAGAAACATCTTTTGTGTTTTTAACGAGGCGTGGATCCTGGTCGTCACTTCGCGCCACAAGTGCCATTATTTCTCGACTTTTCTCCTCTAACAATTTCTAATGATGTAAAATAAAAATGGATTTGAAAACCTGTTTTGTTACAGGCTGGTATCAACGCGAATACATCTGTTTGGGTAATTCTTTATTCAAATTAATTCAAGCTTAACTAACAACTGGGCTCGTGTTTCTGTTTGGAAAAATTGGCCAACAATATAATTAGCTGATTTCGAATTTGCGTAATAGTCTACGTGGCCAGTGTATATGTCTTGGCATTCTAATTAACGAAAGGATCGAACATCCCGACATGTCCATCTGCCTGATACGCCTTGATATTTTATTTCATTTTAAGCACTTTTAGTTATGCCTAGAAGTAACGTGTCGATAAAATAAGGAAGAATATATGGCTCCATCCAATTATTAAAAGACTGTTTCTAACAGAAATTTTTTCGTCGTCGAAATTAGAGGAATTCTCCAGAGGATTAGAAAAAAACGAGAGAAAGGAAAAATCTATCTTTTCACTTATTTACTCGTCGTTAATTAATCGAATACGTTTGAAGAAGAAATTTTAAACAAGGCGACGTATAAAATTTCCACAATGCAGAAAGCTTTCACGTTTCTTCGTCTGTATTTAAGTAAAGATTTACAGTAGCTTTCGGTCTTTTCCTGTTTCGATTTCTAGACAAATGATTTAGTTTTCTCGAAAATAATTATTAGTTTTTTTTACATGAATGGAGAGCGAGCGAGTTTTTTAAGCTCGGTGGTGTCATGGTCGAAGTCGGTTTGCTGTTATTACGTCATTGTGAAAACTGTTTAATTAGCCAATAAGACGAATTTAGTTCGGCCAATCGATCGGGAGGGAGTAATTAATCGGAGGAAACGATAAATCTCCACGGAGAAGGTCGGACCGAGAATTCGGACAGTCACCGGCCACCAGGTAATTGCGGGTAGTGACCGGTAATTCCTGCTTAATCTATATTATCCGCAATAAAAGGCTAAGCCTTTTATTGCGGATGGTCGGCGGTTCGATTCTGTCCACTGTTTTGTCCTTTCCTAAACAGAGACGAAATTTTGGTTTGAAAAGACACACTTGACGTTCGAAATTACGCGCTTCCATTGATTGTAGGACTTATTCTATGTGCCCTTTAGATAGTTTCATGACTTTATAATTAATCGTCCAATTAAAAGTGTTTGCTTACTTAATTTTTATCGATTGAAAAAAGCCGATTTTGGCGAAGATGCGAAGAACGTTCGTTTTTTCATCTTTCTTTTCCTCGTTACGCGCTCCAAATAATAATAAATAAAAACCATCGTCGATTCTATGGTAATCGATCAAAAAATTCTCCTCCTCTTGGTTCGTTCCTTTGCTGCCTGCTAAAGAATCGCTTATTGTGCAACTTAGAACTATTTATATTAAGCGTAATTCGAATTTCAGTTGTTTTTGTTGGTAATTTTGTCGGTGGAGTTGGATAAATTGAGCCAGCAAGGATAAAATGGGGAGACGGATAAAACTTTTATACGTGTTTATTTATCGAAGAGGTACAGTTATAAGAACGTTACAAAACGAGTAACAAGTATCCAAAGGGGCATAGGTAACGAGGTTACGTAAACTGTCATCGTACATCACATCCTGTCAAACTTTTGGCACGTGGCAGCCACATTCCTAACAGTTTTGAGGAGATCGAAGTTAGGCCTAAATACTGTATTGATTTAAAGGTGCTGTTCTCTTAGATCCTATGTCCTCGTTAGCGTTAAAATTTTTTATTTAGTTTTAGGAAAATTTTCCATTTTTTCCAAGAATAGTGTCATTTACTCGAATTAAGTAAATTTGAGAAAATCTTAACGAAATGTCGAAACTTCGAATAAGCTTGCAAAGCGACTTTCCTTTCATAATTCTCTATAGTTAATGACTTTTTCTTTTTCGAAGCGAAATAATTTGGCTCCTAAATTTAAGTATTTTATTCCGGCCGAATTCGAATATTTTAAGGCTTTCCATTTATGGTCAAATTCTGTTGGGTTGCGCGGACGATCCGTCGTTCTAAACGATAATTAAACATATTTTTTGAAGAAGACGAATGTTGCTTTTGATGGATCTAATTATAGGTTGAGACTTCATATAAGGATCCACCGGACAGCTGTATTCAGATCTCTTGTACGAGTTGGCAGCTGCCCAAGTAATTATAAAGAACCGCGATTATGACGTATAGTACGTCCGGATTGCCAATATTTATTCGCCGAATATTAAGGTGAAGTCTAGAAGTTCTCGCGTGTAAATCGAACTAGATGCTTAATCATTCGCCTCCGATTAATAACTAGCTATAAAACGAGATAGAAAAAGAGCATATTTATACAGTATATAGGTATAAAATATCTCTATTATTTACTGCAATGAAAGCGACTATGTTCAATATTCTTTATGTACACTTTGATTACGCTTGAGACTTTCTTCTTATCTCAATTTATTAAAATTATATTTAGAAAAAACCGGTAGAGCAATGGCATGTGTACAGATCGAGTACGAAGATTTTCCTTATCATATTTATATGTTTAACAGAAAAAGTTAGGTCTATATCGTTTTGAAGTTTTATTTGGACTATTGAAATTCATTCCATAACGTTTATCTTTATTAAAAAAGGTATGGATTTGTAAAACGGTCGTATTCTTTAACTTAAAGTCCGGGCTAATAAACCTAAAGGAGGAAAATGGGGTAAGGAGACGACGATCTCTTAACTTGAAAACTTAATTCGATGGTTTGAAAGTGGTGGATCCCGACCATACGTTTCATTTGTTGTATATTAACGTCGTATCCTTAAGATGACGTGACCTGTTCGTACAGCGGAGAAAAAAAAAAAAACGAGAGGTTTTGTCTCGTCGGTCAATCTTCCCCTATGCATTCTTAAGTAAAGTAGTGTTTCCTACTTTCATTTTGTTGGGAAGTTTGTCGGTGGAGTTGGATAAATTGAGCCAGCAAGGATAAAAAGCGGAGACGGATAAAATTTTTATACGTGTTTATTCGGCGAAGAGGTACAATACAGACATATTACCTTACCCTTTTCTTAAGTATCCAAAGGATATTAGGTAACGAGAGTACAGTGTCATCGTACATCACATCTTATCTTTCAGGCGCCCACTTTCGCACGTGACAGTCACATTCCACATTTTGTAAAGAAATATCCGGATAAATGTTAAAATAATAAAAAGAATAATAATTCTAAAGGGATTATTTTATTTATTGAGTTTTCGCTATATTTCCATGTCATTGAAGCATTAATGGATCTTGGAAGCATTTGGTAAATATTTAAACTCATAACTTTATCTTTCCCGATATATCCATGACCGAATTATCGAATTTTAAATCGAATTTAATTCCGGTCATACTGATTCGTGTGTCGAATCGAGCGGAGCTTTGTTTAATTATCGTATTTTTCTTATTTTTCAGGTTATTAAAATAAATGTTAGAAACACGTGTATGTAACGAAACAGTTTCCTACGAAAGAACGTGAGCCTATCTTTATTTGATCGAGAGATCAAAATCTGTGTTTAAAAGATAGGAATTTATTCATTGAATGTCATATAAATATTTGATTTTGTCGTGCTGTTTATAGAACTTCCTTGAAGTTGATTATCCAGGTTATGAGATATTCACCAGATGAGATATTTACTGGAAGATATAAGAAATAATTGGAATATTTCTCTAACAACTTTGTTTAAAACTTTCACTATCCAAATGAAGTATACTCCAAATTCCTTTAAGTGCTCTTCCAACCGATATTACTGTTTACTTCCTATCTAACACACAATGGACATTTTTTCAGATTGTTGTTATTCCTTATGCGAAATGAATTTCTTCCGTTTGATTTTCTGTAAAATGACTTCGCCTTCATATTGTAACAGAACTTTCACCGCACTTTTGTATAAACCTGTAAAAAAAATGACAAATCGAACGAATCACAACTTTCGTGATACAAGAGTCGTGTATCGGATTAAAACTTCCGAACAACAAACAATTTTGTAATATACTCGTAGATTAGCGCGTAATTAATCCCATTTGGATTTCCAGCCTGTTGGATATATTTCTTTTTTGCAGTAGGCCTACTATCGGCACTAACGTACAGATATTTCGACAGTCCATCCATCAGTAGTCTGTAAACTATGATGAAGTGGTTGGTTCCATTTATTGAGCCAGATGAATACCAGGAAAACAGTCCGGTTTAGTAATTCTTGTCATGTGTTGTTATAGCTAACGACTCGAATTGAGTGTATTTAGAAATTTTCCAGTAATGGCCGACCATTTAGGATCCTAAAGTAAATGGAATATTATAGTCCTTTTATTGTCAGAAAGAATTTTGATGTATCCTAAATACGTTCCCATATAAGCGGCGTAGTTAACATTTGGATCTGAAATAGTTTCTTGTGGTATATATCGACTAAACTGGATACGAATTTATGATTTGAAATAATATTTTACTATAATTTTTAATATGACATGTATTAATCAAAAATAACTTTTTGTCTCTCGACCAAATATATCCGATGTTCGTGCTAAATAAATGTCTCTTTAATCCAAGATTTAACTTAGTTAACCCAATAATACGTTTCTTACTTGATGATTTCTAAATTTCTTAATTTTCATTAATTTATTTTGTTGATTCGATTAGATTACGATACTTACTTGTTAGACCTAAAATTCTTAGCAGGCTACTTCAATGTAAACCTGGCTGTATAGAAACCAGGTCTGTTAATCTTATTCTGTTGTTTCAGAATCGATTACAACTATTGGTTTTCTTATTTTGTGAGGAAATACTATGCAGTTATTGTATATTAGTTATTTAAACGTATAGTTTCGTCCAGCGAAACGAATTTTTACAGTACACATTTGTAAATGACCTAAAGCAAGCTAGGCCTATGTAAGTAACCGAATGTTAACGTAGCGTCATTTCCATTGTTTTTCTCATTTATTGGTTTTAAGATCTCGACAGGATCTCTCTACTTTATAATCGGGACTAATATAAATCAATAATTACGAAATATGTGTTTACGATAGAGTTACAACTCTATCGTAAACACTTATATTTTTGTGGTATAACTCCAGAAATGGTGGACATATTTGTCACAAAATTGACTCTACTATCTTTTAATCGAACTTCTTTTGAGTATTTTCGCGAAAAGAGAGAGAACGAGAATGACAGTTGGAGTCTCGAAAGAAGAAAGAAAACTATAGAATTAAATGCATTCGTTTTTACTTTCCAATGCGTTTATTCGATTCTTAGAGATTGAAGTTTGGTGTTAATATTCAATTGGGACAATTGATAGAACTCGTAACGTTTTGTCTTCGGTAACGAATATCTTCCGGAATTTAATCTTTGTAGTTTTACACACGTTAAACTTCAAGGACGTCCGTTTTAAACGATTAGAATTTACGAGACGAAGATCATTTTGTTTTCTAAATTACGCGATTATTCGCCTACGACCTGCCTATTATTCTTGTTGGAAAGTTTGTCGGTGGAGTTGGATAAATTGAGCCAGCAAGGATAAAAAGGGGAGACGGATAAAACTTTTATACGTGTTTATTTATCGAAGAGTACAGTCATAAGAACGTTTCAAAAGGGTAAGGTAATAAGTATCCAAAAGGTTGTAGGTAACGAGAGTAAACAGTGTCATCGTACATCATATCCTGCATTTCGCCAAACTTTCGCACGTGGCAGCCACTTTCCTAACAATTTTAACGAATCTAAGATTAAATTAACGTTCTTTGCAGTAATCTAAATCTTAATCGATGATATTCAGACTGCGGTTGTTTCGTACGCGAATTAGAAATACTGTATTATATTTGTATGTTAAATTAAATACATTCGAATTAAGAAACTTTTGTCCTCTTTGCTTAAACTTACATTACACGTTTCTTATTTAAATATTTTCGATGTTAACAACTTGTCGTCTTTCATTCTTAACAGTTAAAATTCGTTCTTTATAAATGAATACCAGGAAAACAGTCCGGTTTAGTAATTCCTTGCATGTAAATAAATTACTAATATTTGATTTATTTTCTCTTAGCCAAAACATTCGAATCCCTAAAGGATTATTTGTTTGAAGACTCTTAGATGTATCTTATTTAAGGGGATCTTAGTAAATTCTCTTCTAATGAAGAGAATTAATCTTTCGTCCAAGTATTACATTTGTCCAAGATATCCGAATTCCTAGTTCTGATTTACAGAATTTTTTACTTGTTCTAATTCCTTTAATAGGTATTTAATAATGTATTTTCGTAAATAAAAAGTTAATATATATTTCTTTGTAGAAAAATATTAAAATGTAAATAAACAGAATAAATTACTAACATAAATAATATGATTTAAATTTCGTAATGGATATTTTAACAGCTTTTAAAACTCAGATTATAGCAAGTATTGGCTAAATTTACGTCTTTCGCTCGGGCGAAGAAGACGTAAAACAGGTTGTGAATACGAGGTACACATGGAACAGGTGCAGTCGGTCAGAAGGAATTACCTTCGTGAACTTGGAAACAAACACCTGTGTAAAAGACAGCTGTAGGCTTACTTTAAAACTCTTTATTCAACTTTCCAAATGTTTGCTTCTTTTGCAGATATCAACGGAAGAATCTCTCCGGAAGACAGGGGTGAAGTAGCCGAGCAAAGATTCATTTATACTCCCGACGAAACAATTAGTTTATCTTTGGAATACGGTTTGGGGTAAGCAGGACATTTTAATAAATACTGTTAATTCCTTAATTTTTTTCCATGATTTTTAGGACGTGAAATTCTCCGAATAGATCGACATTTACCACAGTTTAAGCGATTAATTAGATTAAAATTACATAAAGGCAGGATATAGATATATATGTATAATTATGCGTAATACGAAAAGGAAAATGTCGATAATGGCTCGACGTCCTGTATAATAATCGCAACATCCAAGGCATTTTTTTACCCTATCCTACTAGCGAAGACTATTCGGATGGAATTGCGCTTGACTAGAATTTATTTGATTTAAGTTTGCATATTCTTTTGAGAAAATATAATTAATTTACTCTTAATCGTAACGAGGGATAGAAGAAAAAATAATTTTAAGGCCGAATTCTTTCGTTTTATCTCGCTATTTGAATACGAATGCGAAATTACGTAATCTCTATTGTATGTTAAAATGGAAAGGTCGACGTTTACATAAGACAAACTTTAAAGAGGCTCGTACTATACATGTACAGTACTCAACTTGTAATTTTTTAGGTCTATATTTTATTTAAATAGGCATTGTTGATTTCGATTACGCTAATTTCCAAAAATAAGGCAAATCTATACCCGGGACGGCTGGTCTTCTCTCGTTTAATGGAAGTAGAGTTTACTTTGGACACACCTCTAGTAATTACCGTAGGTGGTGTCTGCTATATGGCGACTTTCCAAAATATCCGGTACTAACGTCTCCTTTGTACAAACAGGAAAAAGGACGTTCCACGTTGTTGTTGGAAGGACGTTCTAGACGAATGCGAAAAAGCCGGTCGAACAACGACTGACGGTCTCCCCCCGGGTCCATTCCGTTAAAGGACCCCGGTCCTACTCGGCGCGTGCGAATTACGCGCGTTATCTTTGTAGCGTGCCGAGAAAGCCCATCTTCTGCGGCCACCCTTATCGTACCGACCTAACCCCTCTGGCGCAGAGTGGCTCGCTCCCCCGCTGCCATTCGATAGCATTATCCAGTTCACTGACTGAAATCGCATTTAGCTGCCTTCGCTCCCGCTTCGTCCTGCCGCGTTTGAGAAATAGCCTTCCGTCACTAAACACAAAACCTTCGCTTACGTGGACCCGACGCGATCCTAAGTGAAACGTTAACCGATAATGCATAACGGAGCTTCGTTATCGTTTCATTCATAAAATGCGGTCTTTTCAGTTTCATTTCGCTTTTCTAAATTTTTTTTTCTATTTTAAAATAGAACAAATCAAGTATCCTCCGCGGACCCTAACCCTCCAAAGGAGATCGAAGTTCAGACATTGGTAAGTAGATCTGTTAAATTAGTTTATGTGTAATTGAACTTGTTCGAATTATTTTACCGACGCGCAGAATAAAATTAATTAGTAAATACGTCAAATAACTTTTATAAACTTAAAAAATATTAAAATAAACACCCGAGTAACATCGCAAGTCACTTTCTGAGAAATCTTATCTTGTATGTTACTTTCCTTTCTATTATTTTATCACAATAGTTTAAAATTTTTACTTGTATTCTTCTAGGAAACAAAGCGACGTTTCTTACAATGTCCCGCAGCCATTACCGTTTCTCATCTGAAGAAATTCGTCAGTATGAAATACGGATTACCTTCCACGTATAGGGTAAGAACTTTTCACAATTCTGTAGATATAAAAATGCGAATTTAAGTTTACCTATTGAGGTAAAAATAGAAATATACCAATATATTCTATACAAAAATTTACTACATAAATCACTATTTCAAAAATTGGTAGTCAGTAAATTCTACGTTTGCAACTATGAAATTCAGACGATGATGTCTCAGTCTTAACGCGTGGGTCCTACAATATTTGTTATAGTGGCCATAGCGATTTACATAGTTTTCTGTAATGCTCGTGTAATGTATTTTGTAATCGGAGTGTTTCGGATCACCCCCGATTAAAAAATAACTTACGAAAAGAGCTGCTTTAAAATAGTGGCTAGCGGGTCTTCATTTAACGAGTGCGTTTTTGCCTCTTCCAATACAAAATAATACAGGCAAGCGATTAAATATTTAAATGACAGAAGTATTTTTTCCTAACGATCGCGGATAGAGTTCGGTAAGAAAACGTGCGCTGACGTAAATCTAAAGGAGATCGATATTAAATATCCTAGATAGAATTTAAAGATGGCGCGAACCATTCGTCGCTATTATAGCGATTTCCATCTTAACGCTTCCGGATCTCTCGGGATCGACCCTTCTCTTCCCCAATTAAATCGCTCTATTCGTTTCGACCCTTTACTGCCGTAACGAATCGAAACTATGAGATGAAAGTTCGTTGGATATCGTTGTAATTTATATGGAGTTATTGTGTGGTCTTCTGCTGAGAAACTTACGAATTATCTTTTGTAAATTCATCTTTGTGTGACGAGTCATTTGGCAGAGTTTGATAAGGAATCCGCCTCTTGAGCGGAAAGAACCCTAAAGTCTTCGTTTTCGATACTAAAAACGAACGCGTAGTAAGACGGAGCGAAACGACCGGAAGGGATTAATGTAGTAAATAGACCGAATCCGGTCCCGGGACCACTCGATTAAGAACAACGACGAGTGTTCCCGGAGGGTGGTGATACTGGTCTTAGTTCACTCATACTTTCGAAAACTTTTATATAAATCTTCTCGAAGTTTAAATGGTATGACATTCGTTCGTTTAAGAGAATGTTTTTGTTTTGCCTAAAAGAAGCTTCTAAAGTCATGATGAAAATCGGAAAACGTGTGGATTCTTAAATTAATAAGAATGTGCGATCAATTTAAAGAAATCGTTACTCTATTCTTTAAAGAATTAAAGGATAAGACAAAGCGTTGATGAATAACTGGAAATCTAGTAGGTAATCATTCATTAAAAACGCCAGAATTTTGCTATAATGAATCTTCGATTATTCTGAATCGGAAATATTCTACACTCGATTCGTTCGCCATTCATGCCCTTTAGTTATTCACTAACCCCACAAAAATTGCCTAGTGACAAACGAAACGACAAGAGCCACCTTTCCCCCCACCGGAAAGGAACCGGCAACGAACCGAATTAAGTTAGATAGTTGGTTGGAGTGTCATTTCTATACACAATTTCGAAGGTCGCCGAAGTTTCGAGATGAGTTTGTGTAAAAGTTGGTGGATTAAAGTTAAAGATTGCGTTCAATAATGCCCTTATTCGATGTTTAACCTCTACCTCAATTATTTTCTAACAGCTTACTGATACTAATAATAATATTAAAGTACAATACCTCGATACTAAACTGTAACCATATACAAAACTCTCGTTTTTACAAATTATAACTTATACGACGATTCACGAAAGAAATTCATTCTGCATTGCAAAAATTTCTGGACGGAGAACGTAAAATTATATACAAATTATAAACGCAACACCAAAGATTGATGCGTCAAGCAGTTCATCCTGCACGGGTGTTTGCAATCAAGGAGTTTGTCTACTCTATATCCCGTACCAACTGTCAGATGAAGAGTAAAATGGTTTCGTGATATTAAAATAATATGGTGATCAAAACTGATAAGCTACATCGTCATAGGGAAAGAGACCCGATTATTATGATGTTCCATTGAAATCACGCAATACATTATGACAGAAAATAAAGAAACATCGACGATAGTGAAGCAGTTACCGTCGGTGGGAAAAAGTTGATCATGTTTCTCATCGAAATAATAGGAATTATACAATGATTGCTTAAAGAACAAAATAACGCGATCGCAAAACGATTCACTGAAATTTGCTTGTCAAATCTCAGTCATAAAAGGACCGTCGCTCTGATTTACGATTGGATACACAGCATCTTTACCATGATGGTAATCCTGCAAATCGAGCTGAACTATCAAAAATTTAAGCAAAATTCGGGTCTTACAGACCTGATCTTCAACTCCGTGACATTAGTTCCTTTCCGCTTGTAAAGTCATAACTGAAAGGTAACGATTCTTGGTATATGACGAGCTCATCGCAGTATGGGATAAGCATGTTCAGTTCAAGCATTTACAGTACAGTACCTTTACAGAAATTCTGCATAAATGCAAACAATGTTTTGAAAAATTATAGTAAAGCTGTATCTCAGTGCTTTCATAGTGACTTACGTACTGTACAAAGGTCCGATCGTAATTCGATTGAAAAGTTTGAGACGTAAAAAGAGAGAAAATTGTCGTTCGATAAGTTCCCATTTCGTTCTTATCGTTCTACTGCACAAACCTTGACGAATGCACGCAAAAGCGACAAATTAATCGCTGAAATATCGAAATGCTGTAAGAAGTTGTAAGCAGCATCGAAAATCAATTGTTTTGAGTTTTAAATATTAACAGACTCGTAGTTTACAACTCGAAAACTAATTTGATCTATTTTCAACGCGATATTTTTCCTTCCGATTCGATTTTGTAAAGAACGTCCTTCTGGTCGGTTGGAATGCTGAGGAATCTTTTCACTTTAATTTGATATTGTCTTTCCGAATTAAAAACGAAAAAAATTAAAGCTCAAAGAGTTCTAACTTTAACAATTTTTCGGAAAATACTAATAGATCTCTGATACCGAAAGTATGGAAATCATACAAAAAAATATATATTGGATACTAGTCTCTTTGATGCTTTTACTTGACATTAAATGCGGGTTGATATTTAAGGCGCAACATAAGCCTATCGTTGCCGTTGAATAACAAAACTTCGTTATTTCTAAGAGTAAGTTTCCAGGTCGAATTGATTCGACAATCTTTGATGTTTGGTCGAGAAAAAGATCGGAAAGAATGCGTTATCAACTAAGAGTAAGGGATCATCACGTTCGATTTATTATAATTCGCCTTATCCACTTCAGTTATTAATAAAGTGGCAAGGGATTTTTAGAAAATGGATATTAAGAACGGAAACGATTGCGGATGTAAGAAAGGGAACGACATTCCCGTGCGGCAAAGAATCTATTTCCGTCCAAGACAAACTAGGAACGTTCAACAATGTAGTTTATTGTAAGTGGTGGCCAAAGTAGAAAGAGTCGGAAAAGTGGAGAGAATGATTTCAGAGTCTGGTTTTAGTTATTGTTAAGAAAAAGAAAAATTGGTGCTCCGTCCTCTTCTCCTGTTTCAACTAAGATTCAAATGAAAGGAAGGTCTAATTCTTCGATGAATTCGGGAATAACGGGAAATTATCAGACTGCGGATTGTCGGATTGTAATCTTACGACAGACGAGAATAATAAAAGCGTCTGCAATCGACTGTGATAATTCAGATTTCGGTGTTTTCTTCTCGCAATGTACGGAACGATCCCTTTCAACGTACTCTTCTTACCAGCATTCTCGTCGCTACGACACTAATCGACGATAAAGCGCCTTCGACGGAAACATGACGAGATTTTTCCCGTCTAAGATTTGTAACCGGAAGAAGCGGACGTATTTTTTGTCCTTTTTCAAAGTTTGATGCGGGCCTACGACCATAAATAATGACACTTTAACGACTACTAAACAGCGCCCAAGCTTTAAACTCCGGTCTTTAAACTAAAATATCTCGACGAAAGTTTTTAAGTCGCATTTATTTTACAGACGGAAGAGGAATACGTGGGTTCGGATCCGTCCTAACCTAGAGAAGTCTCGATTTTTTTTCTTCCATTTTCACTAGAGGAAATCAAAAGTCAGACAATTCCAAAAGGTGAATCGACATCAACCAAATTTGGTTATAATGTTTAAAAGTATGACACACAGTAAATAATTAGTTTCCATAACGTCATACGGCATATTATCCGTACGACCTACATTAAAAATTCCATATATTTTTAAGAATTATCACCACCATTTTTATCAAGTTTTAACCACATTCTATCCCGTTCTAGAATAATGCCATAATTTGGGGTATTTATTCAATGAGTTTATATCGGATTTCGAGAGGTGGATTACTGGGTTATGCCAAGGAGGTCTCGTTCCGAGAAATTACTAGCTAAGTTAGAAGAGAAGTTTCGATTGTGTGGTTATTAGTCTCAATAGGTGACAAAAAAAGTTTTATTACAGTATTTAATTTTGATCTTTCGACTAACAGAAGATAGGCAAGATCTTCTGTTCGACAGACGGAAGTGTTATAAAGAGCCAAAACTACTAAGACGATAAGAAATTCTCCGGTCTGACATCGTTTCCCTACGGACTACATCGTTTACCACTTGTTGCAGACCGTCGTCGCCAATGTTTTGGTTAGTGCGTCTTGACCAGAAAACTAAACATATTTGTCAGTGTTTAGTGACGAAAGCCGATTCTAATGTGGGGGCTAACTAATATTAGATGAATTAAGGATAAAAGATGTTTGGTGAATAGAAAAGCGAAGATTGGATACGAAGAGCTAAATCGCAAATCCTCAACGTTACGGTTTGGAGAGTCATAGAATGCTATTCAGAATCTCTCCTGTTTGCTGGAGATTCGGCTATTGCTCGGTATTACGACGAGAGAATGTCTGTTCTTGCCAGCTACGTAGGCTCTTTAGGGCTGAATGTCCTCTCACGACTCGTCCGATTGCAAAACTCGCTTTCCCACCAGCGCATACGGGACGTATTGAAAGATGGCCATCATCATCCCATAACTTCGTATTTATTGCTCCAATCACGAGTTTGGGTCGAGCAATTCGAAATAATGTAGGGCATCTTTACGATACAACGCACGAGAGAATCGGAGCCCCATTCTAGCCCTCACAAGAGGATAATAAACTAACATAGCGCGGTGCTGATTTTATACTTTAAAGAACACTTGTATACAAACTTTGAAAAATAATACGTCGAGCGGAAACTGCCAACGATAAAACTTTATTTAAAGTATTTCACTTTGTTTCCACTGTTGTATTCGCAAACAGGTATATAATAACAATCTTTCGTCTGTATTATTTAAATTTCCGATCTTTCCTGTTATGACACTACTTGTCTATTTTATCCACCAGATTCCAGTCTTATATCGACTTTTAATTTAATAATTCCTTGAAAGATATGGACCTATATAGTATATAATATAGAGGTAGACAGTATATCAAACTATGTTCGCGACATATAAATTTTTGCATAAGTTGTAATAGACTTACTTAGTCATTACATTACATTAGTGAATAATTTTTACTCTGGCGTTGACGACGAATTTATATTTTTCAGGTGGAGATTATGTACCTGGACGACCCGTTGAGGGACGATTACAGTCTTATAGACATTGCGTATATTTACGCTTGGAGACGCGTAAGTATTCTTCTCAATTATTAATATTTATTTTGTTAAAATAATCAACTAAAAGTAGATGTTAGGGAATCAACGACATTAAATCTGATATCCGCACGAATGAATATTTTCTTCCAAAATCTATTTAACTATTAACGTCTATTCTTTATGCTAACAAAGCCTATCTATAAGTTGCATATTACGATGCATGCGGAATTACCCCAAATATCATGGAACTAGAAAGAACATTATTAGAAGTAAACATTCCTATTTATTTCATTCAGAATGAAGTCTGTACGGAAAAAGAAAATGCCTTCACAATAATATATTTCAAAACAAATAAAATTAAAGAGAAGTTGCTAATAAAGTTTCTAAGTCCGAAATTGCCAATGTACTGTATGCTATACAGTTAATAAGGGGGCCCGCATTCTAAACGGTAGTTTATTAAATTCCTCGTTTGTTGAAGATTATTCCGTGCAAATTATAAACCTAACAAATTTAATTGTATTTTAATGAGGGATAAAGTTAATTTATCCCGGGTTAAGTCGTTGGTAGATCGCCTCTTCGGTAGAGACGATCTTATATGCACCGCAACTTAGACATATATGCACATCTACATATATGATTCAGCAATTTGTTTAGAGAAATCGATTATGAAGATACCGATGTCGATCAATACTTATAGATTTTTAATTATAAGAAAACTTCAATTTAGTGGACAGATGATGAACTCGAAATTACTGAAACGTAGGGATGTCTGTCCTCAATAGCGTACGAAACAAACGCGCAATATTTAACGGGATAGACAATTATAAAAATCGAATACCTTCCGTTCTCTCTTAATATTATCCAGAATGAAGGAGCGAATTGAAAAAGAAAATGATCTCGCTGAATCTATATATATCATGAAATATGAAAGCACTTTTATAACATACCTGCATTCTCTCGAATTGCTCTACTATTCCTTGTGCATTTCACCTAATTATAAGCTTCTGCACATTGATGAAATTTATAGGAATCGTGTAGAAAGCACAACGTTTAAATATTCATTCGAGTGGGATTTTTTAATGTATTCTGTTCTGTATTGTAATTGTTACCACAGGTCTTAAGTGTGACGTGTAATCTGACGTATTTTTAAAATAAAAACATAAAAGAATTGTTAGAATTAATACCGGAAGATCCATTTGCAGTGTTAATGTGTATTTATTTTGCAGAATGGTCCCATGAAATTGTTCTACAGAATAGTGGAACGTCCCGCCAAGCGGATGAAGATGTGTTTCGCGGAAGAAGAGGAAGAGTCGACCGACGTTAAAGCCGACTCGACCAACGACCTGGCCATGGAAGTGGTCGAGGAGACAGAGGAGCGGGACAAGGCCGAAGATAAAGGCCGGACCGACAAAGAGGAGGAAGTGACGGAAGAGGCGGAAATGAAGGAGGAAGAAGAGGAACGAAAGGACAGAGTCTCGGCCGAAACGGGTGCGGAACGAGAAGAAGCACGAGAAGCGTCCGAGGCCGAGAGCGCCGTGGACCAATCGGGAAAGTGTTCGTCGGCGGAGGGGGCCGAAGAGAAGGAGGAGAGGGTCGCATCTTCTTCTCCGGCCGTCGTCACCACGACGGACGGCGCGGAGAAGGCCGAACTGTCCGACCGACCCTCTCCCAAGAAGGAGGCGGAAAAGGAAGACGAAGCCGAGGCCACGGACGACACCGAGGCCGACAGCGGAAGAGGAAGCGACGTCGGCAGTCAGGCACGTTCCAGCTGCGACGACGACATCGGCTCTCCCGCGTCCACGGTGCCCACGCCGGAAATCGATAAATCGGCAGCGACGGTGGCTTCGCCTCCCCCCACGGCCAGTCCCGCACCTGAAGAACCGCCGCCGCCTCCGCCTCCTCCCCCGCCTCCACCCCGGGTCAAACCCGAGCCCCAGTCGCACCGAAAGTCGACGGACTCACAGAAGGACCAGAACGGGCCCCTGGACCTGTCCACCTCTCACAGGCACGGAAGAGGCGAGCGACCCCAACACCACCGACCTCGCCACGTGGCCAACCCACCCGTTCTGGACAAGCACCGGCTGCCCACCTGTCTGCCGGCGCCCAAGCACCCCTGCTTCAAACTGTTGCCCACTCCCATCACCCACGGAGGCGTGTACAAGAAGCACGAGTTCGGGCGCAATCACCGGTGCAAGAGCAACCTGACCGTCATCAACCCCGACCCCAACAGTTTCCGACCGAAGATCGTCATCAAGGCTCTCGATCCTCGGCCAGAACACGCGCATAGCCATCATCACCATCATCATCACCACAGAATGTAAGCGTGGCGTAGGAGGACGCCGGGTCCCCGCGCCGAGTCCGACAGTGCAATCTCTCTGGTGTGTGTTGGTGATCGGGCGTTGACTCGATCGAGTACAAAGCGTTCGGACGCTTCGACGAAACTAGTCCCGCAGGACGAGGACTCGTCTCCTCCCGTGTTTCCGGCGTCGGCGCGTCCACGCGTAGTCGGGGGCGCCGAGTCTCGCAACTTTTATACGTTCGGGCACCTCCGGGTTTCGAGTACGCGTGGCGGCGGTCGACGGGCGCCGACGTCTTTAGTTGTTATCCTTTAGATGCGTTAGGTGGGTAGGGGAGTGGCCCGCGCGGTAGACGAAGCTTTTATTCTTTTGTACTCCGTTCCGTCGCACGTTATCTCGTTGTGGTCGATCTCGAACCCGTCACGTACGTAATTCGTGGTATAAATAGTTCATCTCGTGTACAGTATACGATTGTGAGAAGTAAACTTTGTTATGGAAAATAGCTAATCCGATGCCCGTCGTTCGGGTTGTTTTTAGCCAATTATTTTTCCCCGATTTATCTTTGTACAGCAGGTTATTAAGGAACCAATAAAAATCTCTGCTTGTGTCCATCTTTGCCTCCGTTTCGTTTCTTTTTCCGCCGAAAAAAGCACCGTCCGCGTTTAAAACGGTCGACATCACTCGCCTTCTCACTTCCTATAAATTTCTCTTAACCTACTTTCGGAACTTTTTTAAATGAACTTACCGAAAGTACCGTAGTATCGATAGAATTTAAAAATCTCTCCTCGATAATTTATCGATAGGCGTTTTACATGTACAAACTTTACGTTGGTTCAATGACAATTCGCAATGTTAACGGGATGTTAATACGAAAAGGCATATAAAAATGTTTAGTTTAAATTAACAGCATTTGGCGGTTAGAAACAAAGGCGGATTTGTAAATAATGATCAGGTATTTCGATAAAAATTTATAAACTCCGACTCTTAAGACTGACTTTTTTCGGATGGCTCTACCTACAATAAATTACGTAGAAGCGATCTGTTCGAAATTCCGTTAACGTTAAACCAATAATTTTTCTATTTTAGCTCGCGAAACTAAAACTCCTAAAGATGTAATGAAAACCTCTATCCGTCCGTATCTCATCTCCACCAAAATTCTGTTGCAAGTTTGATGTTTAACTTAAAAACAACATATTTCATTAGTATGTAAGAAACTAAATCCAAAGTATACAATAGATTCCACTAATTATTTGTCTTAAAAGCTTTGTAGCTGTGAGCAATTATATGTGTGCAATCAGGTAGCCAAATTTCATACAAATTTCACAAATGCTCAAGTTTCTGCACAACCTCCAGGTCCCGCGAAAGTTTAGAAACACTGAAACGACTCGTCTTTCCCGGAAAAATGGACCGACGGAAGACCCGATTTGTTGGGTTGGAAAGTCGTAAAAATAATTTACGTGCGATGACGTCAGCGTCTAATTATTTAAGCGTAAAATTTTCCCTCAATTGCCTCTGACTCGAAGCAAGTTTCGAAATTAAAATCGGAAACGAAAAATAAGACGACGGATTCCAAAAATCGGATCCGTTGACGCGTAGACGTTTGGTAATTGACCCGATTTATCTGGTTCGAAAGGAGTCGGAATTTTCTTCAGTATTACACTACCTTTTTGTTTCTTTATGGAAGTTGGAGTGAATAAGAGGAGCTCCCCGACAGAGAAAGAGAGGGTGCTTACTCATCCGGAAGTAAATTCCGAATCGAAAAGATAAACATCGAGATCGGAAGTACAGATTCGATATCGGTGGTGGATAGGGAGTCGTTTCTAATTCGAACGACGGAGAGAAACGTGGAGCGGAGGACCGGTGGCGATGACTTTAGGCAGATGACGCGGGCAGCGATATTAAGGCGATGTGAAACGTGGACGACGGGTCATCCAATCCCCCATTTTAATTATCAAGGTCAAAAGAGACGATTGGTAGGCAGCAGCGGTTGACGTTCACCGTCGCCTTCATTTTTCCGCCCGCGTGCATCCTCTTTTAGGTAAGCCGACGTCAACTGGATTGTAGTTCGGTGTCATTGTCGGGAGTTTTCGCACACCAAAACCTAAAGCCAATTCTACTCTCCGGGTAAAATATTCCAAAACAAAAATAACGGGTTCTTTCTGGTTCTCGCGTTTTTTCTGTTCGCTTCGTGTTTCGAAAATACTCGAATTCCGAACCGAACAGAAGGAAATATCGTTATTAGGATAGAGCCGCCGCGCGCTCTGTGAATTATTTGGCGAAGGAGGGAACTCGACTACGTAACTTCGAAGGAAAGATTTCTAGATACGAAGCGCTGTCGGCCCGGAGCTGACGTAAAATAAAGTAGAAATGGCTCTATCGAAGGGCGGAGGGACGTTATAAGCCCCAAAAAGGAAAGGTGCCGCGTCTCGAATTCGTTTGGAAGGAATCGAGACGAAGAGTTCTCCGTCGGTCGAACGTCTATAATTCAGCACTGGAGAGCCCGCAGATTCTGCTACGAAATTCTTATCCAACCTCTCTTCTTCGTCCAAATATTGTCGTTTCCTTTATACGTTTCTTCCGAATTGTAATGGTCGTCGGACAGTCCCTTTCCCTAATTGATACAGAATCAACAATCAATTCCTACCACTGTCCTTATTTCTCAATAAAAATACATCTAAAGTTATATCTGAATATTAATTAACATTATGCCAAATAAAAATATCCTACGGATCTTTTGGTACAATACATGCAAAGTTTTTCCTGATGTTTAATACAGTATATTTTCGGAAAAGCGATTCAACTTCTGAACGTGAGTGATTATTTTTTATTTTCCTTGACCAATTATTCATTAAATTTCGTAGTAATTTTCCGTCGGTGTCGTTATTTGTGCGATTCTTTCTGCTGTCGGTAAGTAAAGACCTTTCTCACAAAATCATATTTACTTTTAAGCCGTAAATTCGAATTTAAGAGAGGCTATTCACGATCTGTATCTTTAGGTCTTACGAAATATCTGTCGATCGGTCCTGTAGACTTTTCCCCAGGATTATTTTTGTTCGTCCGAGATTAAACAGTTATTCGTGAAGACTTCGTTAGGCCTAACGTGAAGACTTTGTTAGGCCTTCGGGATTAGTCTAGTTATTAATTCCCGAGTTTGGCGAATAAGGAGGGGAAAGAATAAAAATTTGCCTATTGGACGGGGACGACCGTTAGACAGATTGATAATTTTGCGCCAATGAGGAAGGAATCCGGCGACACTTCGACCTTATCACCCTGTCTGCGTCACCGAAAATCGAAATGGAAAAGTAATTTAGATCCGGTTCCAGTGCCGAGCCCATTAAACAATTATCACGTTATTGTTGGATCCGGTTCGAAAGTATCGTTACGTAATTATTGAAAGTGATGAAAATGCGAATTCAACGTACTTTTCCGTTTTTTTTTTTTTAAATCACAAAACAAAAATCTTTCTACCTATTCCAGCTTGGCATAATTTAAGTCTTCCCCAAATTCCGAATAAGGATTTCAGACATCCATGATTCATCTCCAGTTCTGTCCATTTCAAAATAATCCGAATCGGTTCGAGCGAAGACACTTTAAAGCGCAACCAGTGTAAATTCGGAGACTAAATTAAGGACGAAGTGGCTTTGTCCCCTCGAAGAGACGAGGGGAGAAGACCACCCGGTCGGGAAGTAACGGTGGTCGATCTTTCCCGCATACGATTTCTTTGGTGTTTCTTCCTCCCGTTTTCTTTTGTCCACACCGGACTAACTCTTTGAATTCTTAGTTCTTTAAATCCATTTCCAGATTTCCTTTTACTTCGGACGTCCTTTAATAAAGCTATTTATTATTTACATAACATCTTACGATTTCTCGGAACCAGTCTGGCTTTTTCCGGTTGGAATTTCCACTTCCGATTCCTCAATAAAAAGTCGAACGATTACTTAAAAATTAGCTAAAATAAGTCGCTTCCGTCTTAACGACGTCACGTCCCGACAATATTCTCCAGGCGATCCAAAACGTGCTTTTCCAGATTCCGGACGCCTTTCTTCATTTTGTCCCGGTAGTGAGTTCGTTTCAGTTCTCTCTCCAGAATCCTGTTAGATTCAAAAAGTTTCTGCAAATTCCCCGACCCTTCAAGGATGGAGAAACGGAGAACGAAGATCGGTTCTAGCGAGGATTGATCAAATCCGTAGCAGTTATGGTTCCGATTTTAGTGGTGCAGTGTATAGAAACGAGGGTTAAATGTTTGAGGTTAGAAGCGGATTAAAACGGAGATTACCGGATGCCCATCGAGAGAGGTCTTCATTCTAAATCAAGTCGGTTTTTACATCCAAAGAGATAGGTATATATCCGTTTATTCCTTTGCTTTTGTAATGAAATATTAAAATCGCCGTCTGTTAATTTCGTGGTCATTGGAACGACGAGGAAAAATGGACAGAAGTGACCTGGATTCGACTTACGAATTAACTTATCTATTATTAATTGTTCTCCGTGAAAGATAATTAAAAGAGGTCGCCTGGCAACAAATTGAAGGAACGAGGCCGAATTCCAAAGTTATCGCGATGTGTAGAAGCTGGATCCGATAAATCTTCGATAACAAATACAGTATTTAAAAACCTTTGCAAAGATGATCTGGTTTCCACCAGTTAATAGTAAAAGCATTTCGTTTATATTAGTGGAAGGAGGAAGAAGGGAGATTTCTAGAGTTCGAACTTCGACCTTAATTATCGGGCGAAGGGACGACACCACAGAGAGACGTTTATGACAGGCGCGGAGGAAGCCCAGGGTAAAAAGCGTCGAACGGGTCGGTAGGCGTATCCGTAGACCCGCGGCCTCGTCCAATAACTATCCCCCTTCGGGCGTAAACCTATCGGGCGTATCGACTATCGAACCGTCATCGACGCTTTTAAATCGCTCCCCCCGACGTTAACCCTCCTCGAATGACGCGTGGAAGAGCGCGCGCCCATGAGACATCGTCCGAGAATCGCTTCCGTCGCCTCCCCCCACGATTAGCTAAAGGAAACTCCGCGATTGCCGAATTGTACTATTGGGTTTCTACAACAATGAACAAATTTAGTGAAGAACGTCGATTGAGACGAGGAAAGGATCCTACGTTTTGTGCGAACGACGTCCGTGAACACCGAAAACTTGTGTCATTCGGAAAAAGAAAGGAAGTAAAGAAGAAACTCGATTTTTCGCAGTAGAAAACGAATAGGTAACTAGGCCTAATCGAAGGAGAGAATAAAAAGTTTGTTTGATTTCCCCCTGTTGTTATACACCACCCGCTTACCGGAGAATAGTCACGACGATTTGTTACATACTCCGAACATAAACAATTACAAACTGGTCTGGAAAGAACGAGTGACCTCGACGGTCATTATCCGTTCGGTTGGAGTATCCTCCAACTGAACGGATAAAACAACAGGACGAATTAATTTGTTAACAGTCTGAATCCAGCGAGAAAAGTCCTCGAAGGATCCAAATGACGAAATCCTCCTCCTCCTTTTTAGTCTGGAACTGAAAACTCGCATCCGACTAGAGAGATGCCGAAAAGATAAATTTGAAGTTAAAGTTGTGTCCTGTTAAGCATTCTTCAAAATGTACACAAGAACGA